GAGTTCGAATTGGCTTGCCAGTGCATGGATAACACCGGATCAATCCCAGATTGTCTCAATTGTGAATTCCCAAATTCCTAATGGTTTCTCTAAAAGTAACAGCCATCTTATTGACTTGGAGACAATAAGGACTGCAGATGCTGGAAACCAGAGTCTATAGGTGTGAGGCTGGAAAAACACGGCAGGTCAGATAGCATCTGAGGAAAGTCACCGTTTTGGGCCGAAACCCTTCGTCAGGACTGGGGAAGGGGAGAGGAGTCCAGAAATATAGGGAGGGGGTTGGGGCTGGTGGAAGGGTAGGAGAGATGGTGATGGGTGTATTGTGATTTGTCCATGGGAAGGGTGGAATGGATAGGTGAGTAGGATTATGGACAAGTTAGGTCAGGTGAAGGGGTGGGGGAGGGCTGGACATGGGATAAGGCTGGGAGTGGGGGTATTTTGAAGCTGGTGAAGTCAAAGTTGAGGCCTTTGGGCTGTAAGCTCCCAAGGCAAAATATCAGGTGTTGTTCCTCCAGTTTACGTTTGGCCTCACTCTGACAGTGGAGGGGGCCAAGGATGGACATGTTGTCAGGGGAATAGGAGGGGAATAAAAATGGATGGTAACCGGAAGGTCGGGTTGGTTGATGTGTGCAGAGCGCAGCTGCTCTGCGACCCGATCCCCGAGTCTGTGTTTGGTCTCCCCGATCTAGAGGAGACCACATCAGGAGCAACAGATGCAATAGATCAGGTTGGATGAAGTGCAGGTGAATCTCTGCCGGATCTGGAAGGATTTTTTGGGGCCTTGAACAGAGGTGAGAGAGGATTTGTAGGAGCAGGTGTTGCACCTCTTGCAGTTGCGGGGAAAGGTACCGGGTGTGGTGGAGAAATTGGTGGGGAGTGTAGAGCTGACGAAGGAGTTGCGGAATGAACAGTCCCTATGGAAAGCGGACAGGAGTGGGGAGGGAAATATCTTTTGGTGATGGGGTCTGATTGCAGGTGGCGTAAATGTTGGAGGATGATGCATTGGATTTGGAGGTGGACTAGGGGGACTGTATCCTTGTTGTTAGTGGGGAGGGGGTTTGAGGGCAGAAGTGCAGGAAAAGGAGGAGATGCAGTTGAGGTCATCCTTAATTACAGAGGAGGGGAAATTACCATTCCTAAAGTAGGAAGATATCTGGGATGTCCTGGAGTAGAACGCCTTGTTCTGGGAGCAGATGCAGCGGAGGAATTGGAAGTATGGGATAGCGTTTTGGGTGAGAGGAGGTGTAGTCGAGGTAGTTGTGGGAGTCAGTGGGTTTGAAATGGATACCGGTGGTGAGTCGGTTTCTGGACATGGAATGGAGAGTTCCAGGAAGGGTAGGGAGGTGTCAGAAACAGTCCAGGTGAATTTGAGGGCAGGGTGGAAAGTGTTGGCTAAGTTGATGAACTCGCGGGAGCACTAGGCCGCACCGATGCAGTCGTCAATATAGCAGAGAAAGAGGTGAGGGATTGTGCCGCTGTAGTTGTGGAAGAGGGACTGTTCCACAAATCCTACAAAGAGGCAGGCATAGCTTGGGCCCATGTGGATGCCTTTGGCCACCCCTTTGGTTTGTAGGAAGTGGGAGGAATCGAAGGAAAAATTGTTGAATGAGGATCATTTTAGCCAAGCAAATGAGAGTCAGTGGAGGGGGACTGGTTGAGCTGACAGGAGAGGAAGAAGCTGAGGGCTTTAAGGCCCTCCGTGTGGGGGATACAGGTGTACAGACTGTACGTGAAGTTGAGGTGTAATAGTGAGGTTGGGGTTGGAGTGAATGGAGAGGAGGGCTGTTTTACAATGGGGAGAGGTTGGAATAAGTGAGAGAGGTGGAGAGATCCAAATGATTGATGTCACGGTGGCAGTTTGAGATGAACAGGTCGAAGGAGGGTAGGAGGCAATTTGTAGGAGGATTAAGTTTGCTGGAGGCGGAAGAAAGGGCTGTTAGAGGGTGGGTTGGATTTCCGTTTGAAGAAATAAGCGTGGAGGCAGAGGTGGCAGAAAAAGAGCTCGACATCATGGCATGTGCAGAATTCAATTATGTGTGAGCGCACGGGAATGAAGGTGAGCCCTTTGCTGAGGACTGACCATTCAGCCTCAATGAGGGAGAGGTCCATGAGACAGTGAATACCTGGCAGGGCTTGGGGCTGGAGCCAGGAGCGGGGGTGGAGACTTCATCAGGAGTAGGTGTGCGTACTGGAGTGATTTTTGTGGGCAGAAGCAGAAGTACGTGATCGTCATTGATGTGACTTGTAAGGAATTTGGGGATTTACATATGCATATTAATCAATTAAAATCTTCTAACTGAAGATTTAACAGCATCTCAGGTTTGTTTAATACATCCTGATCAGTGATGTGATCCTTTAATTTTTTAACTTACAAATTCTGTGTCTGATGCTATCTCTCTCATTAACATCTGAAGAAGGAGTGAGGCTCCGAAAGCTTGCATTTTCAACTAAACCTGTTGGACTATAACCTGGTGTAGTGTGATTTCTGACGTTGTCCACTCTAGTCCAACACTGACACTTCCACATCATCGTCACTGATGTCAGCAGTCATGTAGTTGTCAGCAGAAGCAGCAGTCACATGGTTGAAGTGCCCTTCACTTTGGAGGACCCCATCCCTTTTACGATAGTTTGCCCCTCTTGGCTTACCAATTTCATGGATTTCTACCAAGATTGTGCAGAATTGACAAAGTAATTTATATGACTGCTTAGAGTTAGTAGTGTCACCGACTGTGATTTTAATATGACCCCAAATGCACCATGATCCATCGAGATATTCACCAAAATCCCAAAGCCTATCAATATCCTTTTAATTAAAAGGACCATGTATGGCTCCACAATAACTGTTTGTTATTTAAAACAAACGAACTGAAGTTACTTTATAAAGATCATACTAGCTTATTTTGTTCTCTAAGAATCCCAACTTATTACTATACTGAATATGTGAAAACTGAAGTTAAATGTACCATTGCAAGAAGCAGCAAAATACGTAAATCAGAGTCAAATATGTACAAAACAAATATATTTAAGCCGGTTACACACTTTAAGATACAAAAATAAACCAATTTAAGATATAGCTGTGTTTTTGACTAAAAATCCTTTACCCTGAAGAACTCTCACATTTTTTAGTTTATATTTACGTTAGTTTGGGCAATCAAAACAACCATAAGCACATGACATTATTTTTAACCTGGGCTATATAGCTGTTCTTCCTTAGAGAAAGTATTTTACAACTACAGTCAAACTGAATATAATTTAGTTACTGAGATAACAAGGTGTATGGCTGGATGAACACAGCAGGCCAAGCAGCATCAGTGGAGCAGGAAAGCTGACGTTTCGGGTCTAGACCCTTCTTCAGAAATAGGGGAGGGGAAGGGGATTCTGAAATAAATAGGGAGAGAGGGAGAGGCGGATAGAAGATGGATAAAGGAGAAGATAGGTGGAGAGGAGACAGACAGGTCAAAGAGTTGTGGGGGGAGAGGGTGGTGGTGGAGCCAGTAAAGGTGAGTGTAGGTGGGGAGTTAGCGGGGGGATAGGTCAGTCCAGGGAGGTCAGACAGGTCAAGGGAGATGAGGGTGGGGCTTGAGGTGGGAGGAGGGGATAGGTGGGAGGAAGGACAGGTTAGGGAAGTGGGGACAAGCTGGGCTGGTTTTGGGATGTGGTCGGGGGAGGGGAGATTTTGAAGCTTGTGAAGTCCACATTGATACCATTGGCTGCAGGGTTCCCAAGCGAAATATGAGGTGCTGTTCCTGCAACCTTCGGGTGGCATCATTGTGGCACTGCAGGAGGCCCAGGATGGACATGTCGTCTGAGGAATGGGAGGGGGAGTTGAAATGGTTCGCGACTGGGAGGTGCAGTTGTTTGTTGCGAACCAGGCGTAGGTGTTCCACAAAGCGGTCCCCAAGCCTCCGCTTGGTTTCCCCGATGTAGAGGAGGCCACATCGGGAACAGCGGATACAGTATACCACATTAGCAGATGCGCAGGTGAACATCTGTTTGATGTGGAAAGTCTTCTTGGGGCCTGGGATGTTGGTGAGGTGGCAGGTGTAGTACTTGCTGCGGTTGCAGGGAAAAGTGCCGGGTGTGGTGGGGCTGGTGGGGAGTGTGGAGCGGACGAGGGAGTCGGGGAGAGAGTGGCCCCTCCGGAAAGCAGATAAGAGTGGGCAGGGAAAAATGTTTTTGGTAGTGGGGTCAGATTGCAGATGGCGTAATTGCCAGAGGATGATGCGTTGGATTCGGAGGTTGGTGGGGTGGTACATGAGGACGAGGGTGATCCTGGTTTGGTTGTTATTGTGGGGAGGGGGTGTTTGCGGGAAATGCGGGAGACGTGGTCGAGGGCGTTTTCGACCACTGTGGGGGGGATTTTGCGGTCCTTGAAAAACGAGGACATCTGGGATGTCCGGGAGTGGAATGCCTCATCCCGGGAGTAGATGCGGCGGAGGCGAAGGAATTGGGAATAGGAAGGTGGTTGGTAGGAGGTGTATTCTAGGTAGCTATGGGAGTCGGTAGGCTTGAAACGGATATCGGTTTCCAGGTGGTTGCCAGAGATGGAAATAGTGAGGTCCAGGAAGGAGAGAGAGGTATCAGAGATGGTCCAGGTGAACTTAAGGTTGGGTTGGAAGGTGTTGGTGAAGTGGATGAACTGTTTGAGTGGTCTTTGACTGTAAAGGGTTGCTGTAGGATTAAAATGATTGTATTTTACTGTCAGTGTTGAAATCTTTATATTTGTGTTATGTGTAAATAGTTTTGTTTATTTTTCATTTTTTATTGCATAATAAATTTCACTTTTTATTGAAGCCAAATCTGCAACGTTGCATGCCTGTGTTTCCGTGAAAGACTGTCTTATGTAACAGAAAAAATCTATCTAGCCAGATTTCAATCCGACCAGTCAGATATGATTTGTCCAGTAATAACATCAGCTGGGATAGCAACACCTACAACAATGCTGCACATTTGTTAATTTTTTGGGAGTAAATGCAATAGAATCTTATTCCTCTCTCCAGGTATTCCTGACTTTAGTCTACGTGTGGCCCTGCAGAAGTTGCTGGAGGAATATAGGGAGGTCAGTAAACCTCAGAAAGAGAGCAAGTTCTACAAAATGTCACCTGCGTCAAAGATTCGTCCCCGAAGGAAGGCCAGGAAGTACCTCTATGCTATAGGTTTTCTTAATTGTTCTTTCTGTAATTAGATCTGATTGCATTTAAAACAATCAACAGTATCTGATGCATCATCAAGTTACAATACAATTGCTATGTTGTACACATTTACAAGTTAGAGTAACATTGGTAAACCTCTTGCTCAGTATCTGCGATATATCATGTAAAATTCTCATTTGATTGCAAAGTAAGACAGGTAAGAAAGATAATACTCTTGACCGTAAACACAGTAGCTGAAAACTAATAGTATAAAGAATTTAAAGTGTTTTCACATTGTTATTTTTGCAGGCATTATTGAACATGACTATGTATTATTCTCTTCTTTCCTTGATCTCTTTAGGCTGGTTGTGATACAGGTCTGCTGTAATGTTGATTTCTAATGTTTGGAGATTGTATTTTCAACTGTTATTACTTTCTTTAGCTTCCCTTTAATATAGTTACAATGTTTGCTTCAACCACCTCCTGCAGTCACTAGTTTTTGGATAACATTTTTTTGCTGAATTCGGTGTTGCATTCTTGCTGACTATCTTGTATTGATGATCTCTAGTTACGCTATTCCCAAGAAAGAATGTTCTTTGTGAATCCATTCTATCAAAACCTTTCATAATGTTTAAGACCTCTGTGAGGTCAGTCTTCAGCTTTCTTTGTCAAGAGAAAAGAGACCAAAATGTTGATCTTTCCTGATATGTATGTTGAATCCAATTGTGGGTATTGATTCTTGAATTTCAAAATCCTTTTGAAGTTTGATATGCAGCAACTTTAAGTTGAGGGTAAATGCCTTTTCTGTTACATCATTACCTTCCACGATAATAGCATTATGTCTCTTGTGCCTCTCTTTAATTAGGATTCTGTTCATTACTTTGTATACAAGAGATTCTAAACTCTTGTCAGAAACAAAGCACTATTTTCAAAGCTTTCTTTCAGTAAATTTTTGTGTAGATATTTAAAAGAAGGCCCATATTTTTCCCACCACAGTGAGAGAATAACAGTTAAAGCTATGGTCAATGAAAGTTGTTCTGAAAGAGCTAGTGAACTGTGTGATGAGAAATTTACCTGTCTCTGTGCAAGTGATGGTTATCCTCCCTACTGAGGCTTCTAGCTTTGAGCAAGTAAATCATCACACTGCCTGAACAGCCAATCACTTGAAGCAATTCTTATAAATACCAAATCAGGAAAGAAAAGCATTTGACTTGATAGTTGACCTTTTAAAAATGTAATAGAGCATGTAATAAAGTTGGAGACATACATCAGAGGTAAATGTAGAAGCTGGAATGTCATGAACTTTAAAATACTAATTATTCTAAAAATCTGTTTTTTAAAGAATTAGATTAATATCGCACAGTAGAGACATTTAACAACATCCCACAATATTTTCAGGTTCAGACTAGTTGTTCACAGAGGTTATTACTCACTTTAAAAACTTCATCGAAAAAGGTGCTGTTTTCTTTTGCGCAACATATGGAAGAACACTGAATAATGGGCCACAGCTTTAGAAATTTTGGTTTAATTTGTGTTGCATGAAATCCCAGGGTTGAAGTCATATTCTGTGAAGTAATGGCAGTGAGTGCTTACTGTTCATTATCGAACTCTGCAAATTCAAAGCCAAACTTTGATTTTTTTTCTTGTGTCCTTAACACAAACCCAAAGTCAGCTTATAGTTCTTAAATTTAATTCCGTAAAACTGATGTTTAAATGTATATTGTATACTTACATCACAGTACACGATTTGACTGGATGCTGTTGAAGGCATGATTTTTTAATCATTTCTTTTAACAAGGTGGGTACACTCGGCTTCAGGGAGGACGCTGGAGTGACAGCAGAACTCTCAGTTGTGTGGAACGGTTTGATTCGTTCAGTCAGTACTGGACTACAGTGTCGTCCCTCCACCAGGCCCGAAGTGGGTTAGGTATTGCAGTACTCGAAGGGATGATCTATGTAATAGGTGGTAAGTTATGTCACTGGGATGTCAAGAATTAGTTCTTCGATTAATTGCTCATAAAATATAAAATATGGTTTGAGAGTTGTTTCATTTCTGTAGGGAAGGCCCTCATCACTAATGCATGTGGATGAGTGTTTTGTCTCTTTTTTTTAATCCACTTGTTTATAATTTTTGAGATGTGCATGGGGATGAGGGATGAATGATGTTTGATATTTTATAATTTTGTAAAGTTAATAGTGTTTTTCACAAAACTTCAAAATAAGCACTTTTATAAGAGCAACATGAGAAATAAGCAGTCTGCTTGGGCTTTCATTCTGTATCCCATACTCCTTTCTAAAATCAACAATGGTTCTAATTCCAAGCAATTAGACTTAAAAGTTGATGTATTGGATAACTTTTTAGACTAGGAGGCAAGTTTCTAAGACTTCAAATAGTGACTCCTGGTAATGATTTTTTAATTCTAATCTGTTTCTGCTGCTGACTTCCTTTAATGTGTCTCACCATTATTATAAGTGATATCAACCATGTCTTCAATCCCCAAAGCAAACTATTTTCCACCTCAGAGCCTTCCTCTAAAATATGTTCACTATGATTCAGATTTGCTTCTTGTTGGTGAACATGTGACACAAGCCTAATTCCATGTCCTCATGATTATGCTCTGATTCCACTGCTATATCCCTTTATTTGACACTGATTATTTCTTCATCCTCAGACTTTTAAGTTTCCTATGCACATACAGTGAGCTGCTTTGCTTGGATTGTTTAATTGTGTTCGAGATCTTTTCCTTCTGCGTACCTGGATTTTCAAGGAGATTGAGGCACATTGTGCCTCAGTGTTTCCCTCAATAATCTGGATACTGCCTTCAATCAAGGACATGTTTTCTTTAATTGATAAGAACAACATTTTACTTTGCTATAATCTGTTTTTGTTTCTGATCAACAATAAGTGTATTCCTTTGGATGGCAACTTGGAAAGGAAATTGGCTAAGTTTCAGAAATTTTCCAATAAATTGCTAAATTCATAGTTCATGACTTAGACATTTTGCGTACTTGGGGAATTTGAGATAATTCAGGAAATTTTAAGTACTTGGGCAAAAAATAATTTTGGTGCTTTTATAGACACTTGATGGTGTCACTTGCAGCGTAGTTTAATAGTAACATACAAAAGATATTCCTCTTAGCAATTAGAGACTTTTAGTCACAGATGCGATCTAAAATATTGTTCAATTTAACCAAAAACATAATGGAATGATTTCACCTAAAGGCCAAATTACATTTTTAATTTTACTGACTACAATAGGTTCAGAAAGAATTTTAAATTTTCATTAAGGGACAGTAGTAATGCTTGTGATGCCTTGACAGGATTGAAGATGATTGTGATCTGTTACATATTTAAGGTGAAAGTGATTCCATGATTTTTGACTGTGCTGAACGATATGATCCAGTAACTAAACAATGGGCGGCGGTGGCCTCAATGAATTACCCACGATGTGGACTTGCTGTGTGCGCCTGTCATGCTGCTATTTATGCTCTCGGTAGGAAAATTGTAAATAAATTTTATACATCAAGTACTTCTGTCTATAAGACACATCTGGCCATATACGACTGATAGATAAAAGATAGTTTCAGTGATGCCATAGCCTTACTGTCACAAAAGAGGTTTCTTCATAAGTTTTGGACACTGACAGAGCCTGTTTTACAGTCACCTGACAGTCCAATGAACCAACTATGCAAACTAAGCACATGGCTGAAGGAGGTACTTGGCTTACCTGATATTAGACCACAAAGTACTGAAGTCTATACATCTAGTGCAGAACTAGCCATGCCACTAGGCCAGCTGTTGCAGTACAACTTCAACATTGACATCTACACAGCAATAAGGAAAATTGCCCAAGTCTGTCCTTTTCCCAAAAAGCAGGATAGGTCCAACCTAGCCAACTGCCTCCCTCTAAGTCTACCCTCAGTCATCAGCTGTGATGGAAGTGGTTGCCAACAATATTGCCAAGAGGCACGTGCTCAGCAATAACCTGCTCACTAACACTCAGTTTGGGTTATGCCAGGGCCATACAGCTCCTGGCTTGTTACAGTCTTGGTACAAACATGGACAGTAGCTGAATTCCAGAGGTGAGTTGAGAGTGACTGTCCTTAATATCAAGGCAGCACTTGATCCATGTATGGTATCAAGGAGCCCTTGCAGAGCTGGAGTTAATGGAAATTGGAGAAGACTCTCCATTGGTTTGAGTCTCACCTTCCACAAAGGAAGATAGTCGTAGTTGTTGGGACTTGAATCATCTCACTATGTATCATCCTTGAGATTTACAGCAGCAACTCACCAAGTGTCCTTTGGCAACACCTTCTGAACCACAATCTCTACCACCTACAAATACAAGGGTACTCCTTCACCTTCAAGTTTTCCTCAAGCTACACTCTTGGAAATATATTGCTTGTTCCTTCATTGTTGCTGGATCAATATGGAATTCCCTTCCTGCCAGCTGTGGGTCAAACCTCACTCCAGGGACTGCAGTGGTTCAGGAAGGCAGCTCAACACCACCACTTGAAGAGCAATTAGAAATGGATTATAAATGTTGACCTAGCCAGTGATATCCACATCTCATAAACAAATGAAAAACATATATAATTACCAACTTTTAAATGACAAAAAGACAAAATTAGACTATTCATTCACAAATTGTCAGATTTTGTCCTATGGCAAGTTGTATGACCTGACGATTATGTATTTTATGTTCTTTTTTACAAGTTTAACACTAAGCCCTTTTTTAAGTGTAACTCAAACAAAACCATTCAAACAATGGAGACATTGCAGCTGCTATCAGTTTTGAATACAGATGATCAGTAATATGAATGCAGTCTCTTCAAATTGCATGATCTGGAAGGAGGAATACGCTGCAATGAATATACAAATTTAGCAAATAAACAGAAATGTAATAATTTTTAAAATGTTTCTAATTGTGAAGTTTTTTTTGGACTAGAGGGTGGTTTTGTCAGTTTACAAACGGATTTAGAGTATTTATTATTAATAATCAGTGCATATGTTTTGATTATTTCCAGGAGGATGGGTAGGAGCAGACATTGGAAAGACGATAGAAAGATTCGACCCCTCTGACAATAAATGGGAGATTATTGGTAACATGGTTGTCCCTCGGTACTTCTTTGGGTGTTGTGAAATGCAAGGTAAGGCACTATTTGCACAAATGTGACTTTTAATTTCTTTTTACACTTGCCCTTACCAATAGGTTATTTAGATTGCTTGCGGTAGATGTCGCCATTGTTACATGGTGGTATGATTTTATAAATTTAATCAATATGGCATCCACCTCTGCCACAGTTGTGAAATATCTTGATCAAAGTCACAAACGACATCCCATGTAACTGACAAAAGTACACAATTCCTCTTCATTCTTCTTAAACTTAGTGCAACCTTTGACATGGATGACCAAATCGTTTTGGTCCAATTCCTCTCTACTGTCATCCAGTCTTTGTTGCATTGATTTTTCTGTATTTTCTTCTTGCACATTGGTCTGAGGATTGAGTAAACTATAATGACTTTTATTCTCACTTGTTTTCCCATGTTTTCTCCTTCCTGTTCTGAATCCCAATGGGTTCCTGCAGCAGCCGTCCCTTATCTAATTTTTTGTGTGTGCATCTGCACAATGTTTATTATTAAGCTATTTAAACATGAAGGTAATTACAGCAAATCTATACCAATCCACACACGATTGCTTTCGAATAACAATTACTTGTATTAGTGGGGAAGCTCACATTTCCTGATTCAAAAGCTTATGCCATATACATTTCCATTGTTTTGACAGACTTTAAAAAGGGATAAATTAACTATCAATACAAATCAGAAATATTTCTAATTGTTTCATAGGTTTAATTTATGTTGTTGGAGGTTTGAGTGATTCAGGGTCAGAACTCTGTTCAGCTGAAATGTTCAATCCTCTCACAAGGCGTTGGACACCACTAGATGATATGAAGACAAAAAGAGCCTACATTGGAGTAGCTGCCCTTAACGACTGCGTTTATGCTGTTGGAGGGTGGAATGAGACTCAGAATGCTCTGCAGACAGTAGAGAAGTATTCACTTCAGGAGGTAGGTGTAGTTTATTAATAGTTATAACTTATTTTAAATAAAGTTGTTTGGAGGTTTTCGTGATGGGAGCAATAACATCAAGGAAGACAAATTCACAATTATATTGAAACTGTGAAATGAGCAGCTATTATGATATAAGAGTTCCTTAGAAGAACAGAAACAGTTTGCCATTCAGGTAGTGTACTCCGCTCATTGTCTGAGCAAATGATTAGAACAAGTGAAAATGGTAGTTTGTTACATGATTGGGTGTGGGTCTTACCAATCAGGTTATTGTATTTACTAATTCAATAAATATTAACATTCTCGATGCTGACTAGTTGACTGTGGAGAATGGATGGTAATGTGCTTCTTGAATAAGGGCAATAAGATGTCACTGATGAGGAGGCTGCTATCTTGGAGGAATGCAGTGTTCAAAGATCTCTCCGGTATTTTGTATGTAGTGTGTAATAGATGAGTCCGGATGTGGTAGTTGTGAAATTAATTGTGTTTGACAGTAGCTGATTTGTCTCAGTAACTCTATTGAAGCAGGTTCAATGTTCTTTGAGCCCAATGTGTGGGTTCTGGGCCTATAACCCAGCAATTTAATGTATGTGATTGTAGACTTATCTACATTAGAGAAACAAGTCTCAGCTTGACCAATCAACAATATGATACTGCCTATTTTCCCAGTCTTCACTAGACATAACTCTGTTTTTCATCTACACCAGTTATTTCTCCAGATGACGAGCAAAGTACGCTGCCAAAATGTAAAGGCTATAACACTTTTTCTTAGGAACTCTTTTGAAGGAAACTACTACGTTTGACTGCAAATTTTACATGCTGTAACTATAAAATCATCTTGCTTAGTGATTTACTTAATGTTCTTGAAAAAAAGCCAAAATAAAACTGCAGCTGGTTTGCTAAGATTACAATGAGAAAACAATGAGATTATCCAATACTGTTGTAATTTTAAAAATCTTTTTGTCTATGGGATCCCCTGCTGATTGTGTTTCAGGTGAGATTGGCATGATCCTGACAAGGTTATGTGTTGGTTTCAGAGTGGAAAAGAAAAGGTGTAGATACAGGTTTGAAAAGCAGCGACTGAAAGACTGTTATCTCCAAAGACCTTTTGGGGTTGGGGGTTCTTCAAAACTGAGATTTACCTGTATCTGACTTCTGGTCTGCCCTCGCAGCCTCTCAAATCAAATGATGTTCCCAGCACAACTCTATCATCAGCTTTCTTTATGTGCTGATTTCAGGAAAGTGAGGCAAGAACAACAGAATCGTCCCTCCAGCATCATTGGTATAGATGGGATAGGCAATGATTAAAATGTTAAGCCTCTCTCCATCCACTTAGGAACCTGCAGAAATTCCTTATTAACTTAGCAGCTGCAGAGACCTGGGAAAGCATGTTGCTGCTGGGAATTGAACATTTGACACATGACATTGTCTCTGGTTCTCTGATGGAACATTCTGTACTATAAGTTTTAGCTATCTTCTAAAGATCTTATGTGATTTAGTGAGCTGAAATTCTTATTTTTCCTCTTCTCTTTGCCACCGCCCCCCCGCCGCACATGCTGTAATTTTTCAGGAGAAATGGTTTGAGGTTTCACCAATGAAAATGGCAAGAGCAGGTGTTTCAGTCATTGCTGTTAATGGCCTTCTTTACGCGGTAGGAGGTCGGACATCAGGTAGGGATTCCTCAGCTCCTGTTACTCTGGACTCTGTCGAAGTGTATGATCCTCACACTGACACATGGATGGAAATTGGGAACATGATAACTAGCAGATGTGACGGTGGAGTAGCTGTGCTTTAATGGTTGATGATTGCCTTCTGATATTTTATCAAAAAGACTTTTAGATGAAGAAAATCTGTACATCACATTGAACTGTTATCATTTATTTCAATTGTGATAAATACAAATTTTGTAAGTTTGGACATCTACCATTGGGTTTAAAACTAATGACTCTGGCAACATTATGTCCAAACTACAAAAGATGCTTGTGTTACTTGTCTCAAATGTGTACATGTTTCTATAATTTAGTTTGGAATAAACTTGATTTAACAAACCATGAATTTCAACATGTCATTCAGTACTGTCACAGTAACAGATTTTCATTTGAAGTTGTGTGATTACCCAATTTCATGCAGGATTTTAAAATTCTCACAGCAAATATAAATAAGCAAAAGGCCAAACACTTATTTGCTTAAAACCAGAGTTTTCCTTTCACTACAATGCAGTTTAGAAAAACAAGAACTTGAAGCAACATACAGCATTTCTACAAGGCACTTAAATTTATAACATTTTTGGGTTGTGAATATGTTCAGTGAAGTTTTCCTTGAAAGCAGCTGAGTGAATGTTTCTAAAGTATATGTGTGTGACCAATATGTTAGCCTTTTTAAGTGATGTCCAGAGTTTACACACTAACTGGATGGTTTTGCATACTACTGATACTTCAGCATAAATGCCAGAAGTACAAAACGACCTGTTATCTGGAGGCTTTATATACCGAATAAAGCTGTACTTCTCTTTGTATGTATGAACTGATAGATTATTTTAGATATATATTTTCTTAATAAATGTATTTCAGCACAATAAATTGCTTTGCTTATGTGTATACAAAAAAAAAGTTTGTACAAATTCAGAAATGACATATGAAATGACATATTTCTGTTTCTCCATCATTCCACCATTGGAAACCAATACCATTCAGTTGGTTAAGGCTCAATCTCTATCTCTGGAATTATCCCCTCGAAACCTCCCTACTCTCTCCTTTTAAAGACAATGCTTGAAAAGTGACACTTCTTGATCAAATTTTTGGTCTTCTACCCTAATCTATCTTTAGGTAGCGAAATGTTGAATAGTATTTAATATCCTTCCTATGAAATGCCTTGGTGTTTTTATTACATAAATATCCGTATAAATTGAAGTTCATTACTCCATATCATAGGATATATATACACACCTACTGTATAATTTGCAGCATTGATTTTTGCTTCATCGTGAGTTTTTTTAAGCAAACCCAGTTTATTTATGCAAACCGGATTTGTGTGTTCTATAACTGCTGGTGTTAAAAGTACTGTTGTTGCAGAGATTAATGGCTTTTTCACATGCTGCACAGTTGCCTGATGGCTGTTTTGGTGGCTGCGTTCCCTGACTGGCAGTGGATATCTACAAACAATAACGCAGTACAGGGCATCAGAGATATGCTGCAGCTATTAAAATTCTTCAGGCAAGTAGGACTAGCAAAGATGCTTCCCCGATTTCAAAACAACAGCCTTTTTCTTGTACTGCAGGTTTGAGAATTTTAAGTACGTTGAATCTGTCAAAAGTCAGCTTTGTGCATATTAGAATTAGGTTTATTAACACATGTACTTACATGAATACAGTGAAAAATTAATGAAGTCATCGCTTACAGCACCATCTTCGATATAGATTCTTAAAAATAAATTAGAAAAATAAAGAAATAAAAAGTTCAGAACTCCAGCCCTTTCAAGCACAGAAGTCGGAGCAGACTCGAGTCTGCTCCAGACTTCGCCTCCATTCACGCCTGGGTGACATCCAGGCTTTGGCTTAAACGTAGCAAATAACATTCACACAAGTGAAATTGAACTAGCCATATAAATACTGTTGCAACTAGGACTAGGAATTCTGCAGCAATTAACTCCCCTACTTTCTCCTAATGCCTGTCTGCCATCTACAAGGCATGAGTCAGGAGTGTGATGGAATATTCTCCATTTGATTGAATGCGTGTAGATCCAACCACACATAGCTTTACCCCATCCAAGACAAAAAACCTTACTTGATTTGCAACCCACCCACCACTGACTCACAGTGGGAGCAATGTGTACTGTTTACAAAATGCTTTACTGACAGCACATTCCCAACTCATGACCTGTATCACCTGGGACAAGGGCAGCAGATGCATGGGAGGACCACCACTTGCAAATTCCCCTCCAAATTGCAAAGTATCATGACGTGAAACTATTATTGTTCCCTAACTTTCATTGGATCAAAACCCTGGAACTCCCTCTCTAAAAGCACTATAGGTGTCCTTTATTCTCAAAGATTGCAGCAGTTCAAGAAGACAGCTCACCACTACACTTCTTCCAGACCAATCAGGGAAGAACAATAAATGCTTGCCCAGCAAGTTTTCTTCTGAATTAATTTGGAAAAGCAAAGATGACTTGTCTCCAGGGGACATTGAGCAATGGCCTAACTAGAACAGATGAAGTTGAAAGACCACCATATTTGACCAACTGGACATCATTTCTTCCATACTATTCACATGCAACATCACATGAGATCTTCCAGTGTAACATTACTTACATGTACAACAGTTTTTTTTCATCTCTTCATTCAGTGGATTAATTGTAAAGATAAAACAGTAACCTGTATTCAAAAATTCCAGAATTTTAACGAAGATAAATGTTTCTTTCTTGATGTGGTCTAAAGACTAATTGATTCACCACACAGAGAGCAATTTATTGCTAACCAAACTTTAGTGCAAACTCAAAACATTTTATAATTTTGAGTTTTATAAACTCAGCTCAACCTTCTGATGTTTAAGAGGATTTAATCAAAAATGTGAAAACTGCAATTTTTTAAAATTCTTTTTATAAGAACTGTTACACTTGTGATTTTTACATTGATGCTGAATTAAAGAAATATATGTAATGACCATGCCAGTAAATGTGTTACGGTCTTTAAGAGGCCAGAGTATTTATCCTTATCAGCTCAATGGAAGTTTAGCAAATCCTGCAAATTCAACAGCAAACTCATGCTTTTATATTCTCATTTACTGGAATATTTCAGATGCTACCACTAAATTTCAATGATCAATACGATCTCGTTTGATACGTTTTGAATACAATCTCGCAGACTCAAGATCAGAATACAGATTAAATATGCAATGCAATTTATCATCACTTTGTAAATAGTCTTCAGTACAAAATGTATATTTAGAGTAATTAAACTTTGAAGTGTTAAAACCTTTAACATGATTCTCCTATTACCTTGCAACATAAGTCATGTTTATCAGCCATACATTTCTCGCATTAAGAAGTACCAGCAGTCTCTGCTTATTTCAATGCATGTGATAATTGCAGACTTACTGGCAATGCTGATGCATTTATTCAGTGGTAGGGCAATAGAAAGCTCTTGGATACAGTGTTGACTACTACCAAACTGCCTATAATTAATCATGGGCCAGTGCCTGACTTATGTTATTACTCAAAACAAAGGTGACAATCTGAGGACATCAATCTCTCTGGACGCTTAGAATTAAACGAATTTTGTTTCATTGATTAGGTCAATATAGTTACTTGATAGTTGGTTCACATCCAGGATATTGCAAACAAACAAAGCCCGCACAAAAATGCTACTCTATGTAACTCTACCATGTCCTGAAATGCAAATACTGGTCAGAATGTAATGTCAATTGATAGTTTACATAAAATAGCGAGCAATAAATATCTTAAACCTTGTGTGAGGATTGTAACCATAGATAAAGAAACTTTCGACATAATGACCTTTATTCAGCATTCTTTATATTTTTTTTGTTAGGTCACAACATTGATAGTACTTTTACATGATCAGCTTGAACAGAAAAATAGGAATAATATGCAAGTTAAATAGATAACTTTTCAACAGCTAGATTTTTGAACGGTGATCAGAGTCTCAAATATAATGTTGTGAATTAATTGTTAATCACACCATTTATAAGCGTCTCTGCTTCAATTTTATTGCAGCTTTTTTAAAAATAATATATTTTCTGTTGCTTTTTTGAAAGGATAAATTCTCTACCCTTTAGATTTTATTTTTTCATCTGGCAATAGCTTTTTCTCAGGGTATGTACTTTTGATTATTAATGTGGCAACCAAGGAAAATGTTGCTACCACAGTCAGCACTGTTCGAAGAGCTCTGAACCAACTTGGATAACCTTCGAGTAAGGCTAAGTCATAATGCAATGCTATACCTAGACCCATGATAATCAGAATTGCTGCTTCAGTCAGATTATCATGAAAGAGTAGAGCTATCCAGGCTAACAAAGAAGGAACCACACTATTTCCCAGATTCAACCAATCAGGTTTTGCAGAGCTGCTTTCTGGAATTGAAAATCCCCATCTTATTCCTCCGACAAAAGAGAGAATTGCTGCTCCATATGCAATTTGGGCAAAAGCTAGCTCAGGAAAATATGTCTCTGTTATGGCCATTACAAGGGGAGCTGACACAAAAGGAATTAATCCACCGTAGCCAAGATAGAGGGCAGGTTTGGGACTGTTCTTCAATTCTCTGAAATCATATCGTAGTAAGTCTAATTCACGTTTCTCTGGTTCTTCCACTTTCTTTATCTTGGATGCTTGACATGATACATGAAAATAGCTTGTCTGACTCCTAAAAAATGCAGATTTTTGCAAGTACTTGATGGCTTGATGGGTCATAAATCTTCTTTGTGTGTAAGAGCTCAATAAGTTAGAGGGCATGATGTTTCTTGATTCATTTGGAAACTGTAGTAATTTCTGAACCTGGAGAACAGAGTAACAATGCATATATGTTAGCTGCAGAAAGGTACCAAATAGAGTTGAGACATCTATATATCCTGAGTACGTAAAGATGCGACATTTAATATGATTTATATTGGCAAGCTAAGACACCAAATCTCTCAGTTGGCTAGAGGATAATGCATATAGGATTTGCTGAATTCCTTTCCCATTGAGGTAGACTTGGGATCTGCTTTCTCTTATCAAGCAATGTTAAATCACCACTGAAATAAAACTGTGAAGAAAATGGCTCAGCATGAAACATCAGACATTGAGTCAAGGATCTGATTGCAGTCAGAACATCAGTGAATAAACTGGTGTTATATAATATGGAAAAGAATTCCACTCCTCTCTGAACTGAACTTTCTATGCAACTTTTTTTTGTGCGAGGACCACAAATTTCTTCAAATTACTAATCATGATTAATCATTTGAAATTATGGCTCTGGTAATAAACAAAATTGTACATTGCTATTTCTCAGGTTTTCTACATTTGGATTTGACAAGGTTCAAAGAACTGGATTGTCAAATTGACTGACTTGAGTTCTACTTGCATTGGATCAGGATGCTGGTGCCATTAAACGTAAGAAAATAACTAGAAATAAACTGGGTAGGTAGAGTGTTTTTGTGCACCATAATAATGGCATCATATTGTTACTGTCACAGTGGAGGCTTTTTTTCTCTCAATTCCCCTTCTTTGCCAGTGCTTTGGCCCACTGTGCCAATTACTTTTCTAATATTAAATGGCAATCAAATGATTTGTTCCATTAGATTGTAGTCCTTAAGCACCTCCAAATGAGGACAGATTCACCTTAGCCATCATTGCTACTATCCTTTTGAAGGTGCTAACCTTCAATGGATCATGAGTGCTACCATCGCATCCAAATGATCGTTTCTTAGTGTGTGAACCACCATCACTAACTTACCAGATTTAACTTTATTTGATATCAACACGTTTTCAACCATCCATTATGATAAAACAGGAGTTAGTTCCTGATTGCTAACTGTTTTCCAGCTTGAAGCCAACTTCAGAGCCCCAAGTGCCAAAACGTCTATTTTGTTTTAAATTTGTGATTGAACTTGGAATCTTTGTGGGGTTTTATGCCTCATTTCCACACTGGACAGTGCATTTACATTTCAGCACACGAATCACAAGTGGTTATAAAATTCTTCACTTCCCTAAAGAATATGTATTTAGGAATCAGCTTTACCATGTCTGTCAATGATACCCAACTTTCTGCTACCCAATTCCGCTATTACTTTGAAGCTCTGGACCATCAAATCCTGTACATGAAACTATTTCCAGTTAAACATCAGCAAGTTAGTAGACATTCTGTTCCAACTCCCATAAAAAACATCATGCCAGTGGTATTAATTTTATTAATTTGTCTGATTGTTTGCTTCAAGCTGGATTCATGCTGATTTTAAAACCTGTACAATAGTCTTCCAAAACATTCCATGACTTCAGAGCAACCTAACTATGCAATCATCTTAAATACAGTTCAACCACTATTGCAAAGCTTCCACCCCATGTGGCAGTATACTCCAGGACTGTATCCTCAAAACTCTCTTTCATGCCACACCTGTCTTTGTATTCAAAATCCTCCTCAGTACCCACCTCCAACTGCATTTTTTTCACAGTAATTTTTCTTCCACATCAAGTACAAAACAAATCACACTGCAGATGAGGTGCTTTAGTCTTCGTTGTCAAGTCTTTGTCAGCAAGTCACCCCACTCAATCCACTCAGCCCAGGAGTTCCTCAAATCCCTCAAGGACATAAGAATACATGATGATGAGACCATGGTGTCATTTGATGTTACCGCCCTATTCACATCGATTGACATACCGCTAGCAAGCGAAACACTAGCAACACTACTTTAAGAACAAGACCCGAGTGACACCATCTCCACAGACAACATGCTGAAACTTCTGGACCTACGCCTCACGACTGACTTTACCGTTAATGGCCAAATCTATCAACAGATCAACGGGACACCCATGGTGTCACCTACCTCCAGATGAATAGCAGAAGCAGTGATGCAGAGACTCGAAAGCAAGGCCCTCCTGCAAACCCAACACAAACTATCGATCCGATACGTGGACGACACTTTCATCATCATCAAACGGACCAAACTACAGGAGACACACCAACTAATAAACAACACTCTCACTGGCATCAAATTTATCAGGGAACAGGAAAAGAACAAACAGCTCCCATTCCTGGACGTAATGGTAGAACGCAGGGCCAACGGGGAATTCCTGATGAAGGTACACAGAAAAGCGACACACACTGACCAAGTACTGAATTTCAACAGTAACCACCCCAATACCCACAAACGAAGTTGTGTGAAAACACTACTTAAACGGGCAACAACACACTGCAGCAACACAACTGTGCCAAAAAGAAGAAGAGTACCTCCAACAAGTACTTAAGGACAACGGATACCCGAACAACTAGATCCGATGATGCCTATCACATGAACAACAACTGGAAGATACTGCACGCCGTAACACGCTCATCACGTTACCTCACAGCAAGAACACATCCGAACTGACCACGAGACTCCTACGACTGTTGGGCATCAGAGTAGCACACAAACCCACATCAACCCTCCACCAATTGCTAACTTGAACAAAAGACTCCTTATCCACTATGGACAAAACCAATGAAATATACAAAATCCCATGCAAGCACTGCGACAAACATTACATTGGACAGACAGGAAGAAAATTGGCCACAAGGGTACATGAACACCAACCAGCAATAAAAAGACACAACCAATATTCACTCATCTCCATTCACACAGATAAGGAGAACCACCAGTTTGATTGGGACAACACCAGGATCCTAGAACAGGCCAAACAGAGACAAGCACAGGAATTCCTAGAGGCCTGGTTCTCCACCTAGAAGGCCATCAACAAACACATAGAACTTGACCCTATATATACACCACTGCGAAGGAAAACCGGAAATGAGGTAATCAAACCCAATGGACCCCAGAGTTTAAATACCAGGCGGAAAAACACAACAGCGCTTCATCGGAGGCTGCTGATGATGTTACCCAGCAGGGTAATGAAACGTCTGCAAATAACAAACCAGCTTGGCAAGCGAAGCAACCACAGCTAGAACAACTTATTACTACCTTATCAAAATGAAGAATGGATCATTTAAGAGTTAATGGTTCAGATATTTTAAAAAAAAACTTATTTACCCTGGCTATGAAACAATGAGTCCATAGAAGATATGTGAACCCTGAGTTAGCCCTCTATAATATTTTTACCTGGATGGGTTTTAGCAATGAAACTAAACCCTTCAAAGTGTTTAACAGAAAAATACTTGTCTGGCTGAATTCTGACCAACTGCACAGTCAGGGACATACGGAATTGGCAGTTCAGCCTTTTAAGATTCAAAAGCTCCACTGAAACCAAATTGAAAATGAGAAAAGGAATTAGTTCACCTCTTCACTTGATCATAATACAAGAAAGCCATTGTTAAAGTTTCAGTATTGCTGCTGACATTTCAGATGCCCAGAGATTAGCAAATTCTCTTTAAGTAAATAGGAAAGCAATAAAAATCACAACAAATCATCTTATACGCCTCTGTGAACTATTCTTCAGCAGAAACATCTGATTTATTTTGAACAATTATTTGTCACTAATTAAAAACTTCACATGTTCTTGCAGTTACAAGAATTTTAACTGTTCTTCCTTTACCCCTCACTAATCCCATCCATTGCTATATCAGCATATTTTTATCAGTTTAAATATATTGTACTATATTAACCATTAACCAGAAACTGAACTACAGCAGTCATACAAATGCTCAAGTTATCCGAGCAAGTCAGATACTGGGAATTCTGAGGTGAATAAGTCACTTCCTGACTCCCCAAAGTCTGCCCACCATCTACAAGACACAACAGTACGTTGGAATACTCCATTTTCACTGGATGAGCACAGCTCCAACAATACTTGAGAAGCTTAACACCATTCAGCACAAGGCAGTCTGCTTACTAGCACCCAATCCATCAACTTCAACATACACACCTTCAACAATGACCCACAGTGGCAGAAATGTGTAGCATCTTAAAAAAGCACAGCAGCAACTCAACAGTGCTCCTTTGACAGCACCTTATAAGTCCATGACCATCTAGAAGAACACAGGCAGCACCAGCACAGGGAACACCATCATCTGCAAGTTCCCATCCGACGTACGCATGGAAAACTGTTCATTCACCATCTCTGGCTCAGAATCCAGGAACTCCCCTCCTAAATACTGGCCCAGCCAACGATGCCCACATCCAATGAAAAATTTAAAAAAAACTTTTGAACATGCCTTTCCAAAATGTATTATTGTTAGTCTAGATGACTTCCAATAGAATTTTTGCATTGGCTCATGCTCCCTTGAGCTTAGCATTTATTCTACAACTATAATGTTTCTTACAAATGTTAAAGATTTACACAACACAGTACACTCAAATCTTGTTTGTGCAGTTCCAGAAAATGTACTCTTGAAACAGGTTCAACACTTACTCTTCCAGTTGTTTGCAAGCATCTCCTCACCAAAAAAGCTAACATCTTGCCACCTGCAAAAAAAAATGAAATAACGTGTCAAAGTATGCCTCTATACTTGAATAGCTGCACAGCTAGAAAGAAGGTAAGGGCATTTTGAGAAATTTATTTAGATCAAGTAGATATAGCTTAGGTAGTCTTTTAACCCTGAGAGTGAGTATTAATTTAAAGTTAGTCACATTTGGCCTGACAATTTGAATTTTGATATTTCAGTCTCCACTTAGCAAGGAAGAAATTGTTTTATAATTCTAAGGATCGTAATTAACTTTCTGTGCATTTACTGGTATATCTCCATTTTTAATTCTTATGCTTAAAATTCCTGTTTTGATGCCGGTTTGAACTGACCTCCTCTAATAAAATCAATAAGTCCATAGAAGTGACATTGCAAGTGCTATCTACAAGTCATGTACTACGAGAAATTCTACATTTGTCAATTTACCAAAATTATAAGATTTTCCTCGTTCTTCAAAGAAAAGCAACTCCACAAAATGCAGAAACATGGCTGAATGGTGACAGCAGTTTTCAAATGTTAGCATAAGGTGGCACTTTAGAAAATACTGGGGCACACATTATGCTTTTATGACGCCCATTCTCCCTAATGGCATTATTATGCCCGCTATACATGTAAGATATTGAATGAGGAGAATTTCTTTCATTTCCAATCTGGATTCAATTCACAGTTGTAAAGCCCAAAACAATACCAAGGAAAAGGGTGATGAGCGGCCTGTGCAGAAACAATCCGAACATCCCCAAGTAAGACGCTGCGATAAAATGTACTTCGTTGCCAGGCTTTTGGTTGTCTGCCCTCATACATCCTCGAGATGTTTCAATAATGTTGAGGTTGATAAGTGTTCCTGTGAAACTCCTGGGGGACATTTTACTTTGTGAAAGGTTCTCGATTAAAAACAAAACGAAGAACGTGACCCAGAGAGCGAACGCCGTGATTAAAGAGAAACGCGCCCTTACCTTCCACAGAAATCAATCGACAAAACGAGCGATCTCTGTTGCCTGCGAAATTAAACCCCAAATAACCGTTAAAGTGGAAGCATGGCGGCCCAAGCAGAGGAACC